CCAATTAAAATCTTATCTTCTATAGGAAGCCTTCCCCAACCCTTCTTAATTCTGGTACCATCCCTCTGTGAACTATTTCCTGTTTAGCCTGTTGATAGCTTGCTTTGTATAGATTTGTTTGCATTTTGTCTCCCCCATTATTAGATCATAAACTCCTTGAGGGCAGGTATTGTCTTTTAACTCTTTTTTTTTATCCTCGGCATTTAGTACAGTTCCTGGCACATAGTAGACACTTAATGCTTATTGATTGATTCATCCTTGACCACTGTTATCCAGAAGCTTTGAAACGTGTTTTATTACATAGGAAGTACATGCAAATCCTGATGTATAGAAAGAGGACCACTCCACCTATCACCATGAGGAGTAGAGATACGTGGGTCATATCTAAAATGGGACTTTGGGGTGAAGGAAGACCTGGGTTTGGACGTTTGTGTGTCAAAAATTATGACAACTTCCAGTGTGTTAGAATGGGGAAAAGCCAAGAATGAAGGGAGGAAGAAGGGCTGCTCAGTTCTCTTTTCCTCTAAATGTTTCAATGTCATTCTTGAATGTCAGGGTGGTTTTCCTTGATTTAGTTGTCTCTTACTAGTCTTTGTAGCAAGGTGATGACCATCAGCCATAGGATGACTAGGTCACTAAAAAGCCAAGGGCACCCCCGTAAAACATGCAGATGATATTTCAGAACTGGGCTTTGGGTGGTAGTGATCAGGACTGAAGTAGAAAAGTGCAAAGTTGAAAAAAAAAGAAAATTAAACTTCTTAGAGGGGAAAAAAAAGAAGCACTTCACACCCATCTGTTTTACTTCAAGAAAAACAACTGAATTCACTTCTTTATTCAAGATAGTAGAGTTTCTGACTTCAGACAGAAATATTATTATAGTTCTTATTTTTGAAAATTATATCAAAGCCAATGGGGGAGGTGTGTTATAAAGGAGTCACTCAAAATGGTATTTGTCATCTATCTTGATTTTCCATTAGAGAATTCCATGTCATAGTATTAAATTGACAACTCGGAACACAATTTTGCCACTCAACCCATTATTTATTTATACCCATAGTGATGAGTGGGCACATACAGAGACACACAGACACATAGACACACACCCACAGACACATAGACACACAGACACACATATACAGAGATAGACAGACAGACATACACATACCCCATTTGTTTCTTCTTAGTAAGCCCTAGCTTAACCTTAATGAAAGTAGGAAAGACAAAAGAGGCTAAAATTTGACCCTTCATAAATGTCTTGCTGTGCAGCGATACAGTGTGCTGTGGTGGGCATGATGAGCTGATGGCTTTTGAGGAGCTGTGTAGAGCTCCAAGCTGAACTCTAAGAGAATTAGCTGCTAAGGAATGGAATCTGAAAATACGGTGACCAAAATTATGGATGGAGGTGTGGAGGGAGAGATGAGAAGAGATTGCTAAGTGGAGGCTGGTGGCAAGTGATCGTTCTAAGCAATGTCTTGAAACTCACTCTCTCAAGAACCTTCTCTAATGAAGTTGGACCTTTAAGACTTGAGTGATCATCACTATTTTGTAGATTGTGTGTGTTGGGGGGGATTGTGGTTGTTGTTTTGTTTTGTTTTGTTTTTTGCCTTTGTTGAGAGGGAGAGCTTTGTTTAGGGGAAAACATTGTTTGAATAGGGAACCTTGGTCAGTGCTTGGGACTATATCTTGTTAGTTGTATCCATTGAAGAAAAGGATTTTAGGCTTGTTAGTTATTCTCTGGGTTGCTCAGATAATTTGAACAGGAAACTATTGGTAAACATTATGCCCTGAAGAAGGCACACATCATAGTGTATGTATTTTTTGTGAGTTTTTTGTATTAACTTGTAAAAGAGAATTACCATAACCTTCCATTTATCCAAAGTGTTGAGAATGGTCTGTGCTGGTTCATTGAAAACTACTCTAAACTTACAAGAACATTTCAAAAAGGAAGTTATGCTGTATTAATCATAGCGGCATCGACACTGATTTTAAAATTCCTATGCTCCTGGAATGATTTCTTATTCAGTTTATGAACAGTGTGGTATGGTGGAAAGAATGCTGTCATGGCAGGTGGAGAGGGGGAGGCATCATAGGACTCAAGTATATTTCTAGTCTTTGCCACTTGAGACTTTGGACCAGTCATTTCACCTCAGTTTTCTTATATGTAAAAGGTTGGATCTCCTGGCCTTTCAGGGCTCTTCTAGCTCTGAATCCATCCTCTTGACTGTGAAGGTCAACTTTTATTGATCTGTGACCCTATAGAAGATTCACCTGATGATTTAAAAAGTTGCATTGCATATTTTGCTGATGCTAAATAATTAATTTCAAACCTAAAAGTAGAAAAAAAAATCCCAGCTACTGTGTTTCACGCACTATGCTATGAGATGCAGAGGCAAAAATGAAATAATATCTTCCCTCATGGATACTATAGCTTAGTAGTGATTGGCACAAAATAACACTTAATGAAATGACAATTCTATTGAAGAAAACAACATATTTATATAAAATGAAACACAAAGTATATACTAAGTAATTTCTGGGTGAAAGACTCTAGCAATGGAAGTGGGAAAACATGATGGGATTCCTAAAGGAGGTGGCACTTGATCTGAGTTTTAGAAAAAGCTGGGAATTCTGGGAGGAGTAAGGTGAGAAGGAAGCATATTCCAGGCATGGGTCAGTGCCTGGGCAAGGGCATGGAGGTGGGAGATACAATGCTATGTAAAAGGAGCGCCTGTCAGGCTTCTGCTTGGTGTGCCTATAGACTCGAAACTCCTACAATAACTCCACTGTCCTCTCTGGCCACAAGATAGAGAGCACTGGAGCAGAACCGGGAAAAAACTAAGCGTGAGTTCTGCTGGGGTAATGTACTTCTCTCCTATTACACATCCTAGCCCTTACATCACCAGCACAAAAGCAACAAAAATGAAATAGGGAGAAAATGAAGGGACAGGGGCTTGAGGAAGGCAGCTTCGTTGCCCAGCAGGAACACGTCCTAGGTTTCCTAAGCAAGTGATCCCATCACACGCCATGCGCAATCTTGAACTTTCCTTGCAGAGTGGAAAGTGTTCTGTTCTAACACCTCTTGTTTGTTTTAAAAGTGTAACTCAAACAAATGGAGGTGTTTGCATGTTTTAAGGAAGAGTAGAAGACAAAGGGGTGTGTGTGTGTGTGTGTGTGTGTGTGTGTGTGTGTGTGAAATTCAGATGAATTGTATAGTTTAAATATTTGGGTGGTGGGGAGCTAGATGATCGATCAGCAGGCTGGAATCCTTCCCTGGCTTCTGGGATTTGCAGAGTTTAAAGATGAGGAATTCTTGCTTTTTTAAGATGAACACGTACTACAAAATCTCCATCGGGCTTGGAATTCCGTTCATGTGCCTTATTTAAAAAATCAAAGAAGAGAGCTGGCAGCTTGTAGTAAAAGGCTGCTTCAGGTCTGAGGCTGATGACACCTGGAAAGTAAAATTGAGATGGAGTCCATTCCTTTATTTGTTCTACAAGCATTGATGGAATGGCGGCTAAAAGCCAGACACTGTGGGGGGTACTGGAGGTATTAAAAAAAAAAAAAAGGAAACGGTCTCTGCCCTCAAGGCGCTGACGCTCTCTAGGGGAAAGTGAAGTGTACATATGTAATCAAATACAGAATAGGCACCAAATAAACACAGGGAGATATGGGGGGATGAGATGCTGGCTTGCTGCTGGGGGTGGGAGCAGGATCTTAGAGTTGGGAAGGACCTTGGGGGCCATTAGCTCAAACTATAGCTGCTCCAATCTCAAATCAATCTATGATACTTTATGAAGTGTTTGTTTGGGATAACAACTCTTCTGGATTGGATAACAACACCTTATGTATCTTTGTTTAAGTTGTTGGGGGAGACAATGGAGAAGGACCCGATGTTATCTCTTGGATGTAGAATATGCCCCCTACCAATGAAGACAGTGCCACCTCTGTTCTGCAGTGTCAATGCTTAGAGTTCTCTGGGGCCCTGACCATCATCGTCATCAACATGCTTATCATCAGCAAACATGTATTAAGTGCCTACTGGGTGCCAGACATGCTACCAAGCACTGGGGAGTCAAAGAAAGGAACAGCATAGTTACTGCCTTTAAGGAGCTCACTTTCTAATGAGGAAAACAACTTACAAACAACAATATGCTAATATATATATATATATGCACATATGCACACATATGATGTGTGTATGTATGTGTGTGTTGTGTGTATATGTGTGTGTTCACACATGCATGCAAAGCACCCAAGTGGCTAAGTGGATAGAGCATTGGACCTGTAGTCAGGAAGATGAACTCAAATCCAGCTGCAGACACTTCCTTAGCTGTGTGACCCTGGGCAATTCACATAACTTCTGTCTGTCCCAGTATTCTTATCTGCAAAATAAAGGATCGTTGTGCACATAAAATGAGAAAATATCAAGTGTTTTGCAAACCTTAAAGTGTTGTGTAAATGCTAGCTAATATCTATCTACCTATCTTTGTACTTGGACAAGAAAAGATCTCTTGTAGAAGGTGGGATTTGAGCTGAGTTTTGAAGGATGCCAGGGAAGAGGGGAAGTGGAAATTACACATTTAGTATGTGTCAGAAGCGAGATTTGAACTCAAGTCTTCTTTACTCCAATATTAAATTTCCACCCCCTGTATCATGTTAACTTTCTGGTGATTGACAAAAATATTGACCAGCACAATGCTAAGCACAGACCCTTGAGACATTTTATTTGAGAGTCATTCGTTGAGAAACTGCCATCTCTTGTAAGACTCCTTCAGGGAAAAGTGGCTTTGAAGTCTGAATTCTGTGGGCAATTGTTCCAGCTTCCCTAATTTCACTGATATAGAGAGAGTTTTCCTTACTCCCTTAAAGCCCCAGATTTCTGCTAGCTGACTTAGGGTGAAGTGTCTCCTGGCTCAGTTCCTTCTCAGGGTCAGAGCGGGGTAGTCTTGGCAACTTGCTTGGCTTGGGATAGGAGCTGACCACGTTCTCATTTACTGTAGGTACAGTTCCTTGGAGAGAGCTGATGGAATGAGAAGCCATCATGGAGGCTCAGTCCCACAACGCCACAACCAGTGAGAAGAAGAAAGTGGAGACTCCCATTGCCAAGTGCCCCACACGGGCTGATGTCAGTGAGAAAGCAGCAGCCTCCAGCACCACGTCCAATGGTGAGTGCCTGTGGGCTTCCAGCATCGTTGAGATTGCCTAAGTTGCAAGTGAACTGCCCATTTGCACCTGAATCTCTCTTCCTTCTGTGAAGAAAGGAAGCAAAGCAAAGCAAAGTAGGGGCCGAGGAGAGGGGGAGGGTTCAATAATTCTTGTTTTGACACCAGATGCAGACTTGTCCTTCCCAACTTTCTAATTGAAGGTAGAAATGTGAGAGGTTATTTCTTATAGGAAGTTCCTGTTTTGGCATTTGGGAAATCGTCCTGATTAGTCTGGCAAGAGTTCAAAATGTTTAGCATTTTACTATCTCTTGCCCTCATCAGAATAATGAGTTTTTCCAAAAGACACAAAAGTTGCGTTGTCACCCAGTTGTTGGCAAGATTTTTCCCCCAATAAAGTCAGCCACCATAGAGGAAATCTAGCAGTGTCTGGTTAATTCCTAGCTCTCAGGCTAACAGGGCAGCTACTGTCCAGAGGAGTTTATTTTGGAAGACTTACGCGGGCAGATTTGCATTGCAGGTTTGGGGAAAGTTTACGAATCTACTCAATTGTCCTCAGGAAGTCATGGCTTCCCCAGTTCCTAAGTGCTGGCTTTTAATGTTTTAATTAAACTTTCAAAAGAATCAGTCAGTGCCTTAATGCTAGCATTGGCCATTGGAAATAAATTCTTGAAGTCTTTTGGATAAACATCATGTGTGATTGACCCCAGGACTTCCTTAGCCTCTTTTGTCTGGAGTGAGAGTTTGGTTTTCTGGGATTTGAAGAGGAATGCCTCCACCTGCCCCTCCCCCTCACTGCAGGTTAGAGCATGCCTTAGGAGCAGGGAAGATAAATCAGGGAATCCCAGGATTAGAGGAGTGGAGTGGGAAGGGACCTCAGGGGTCACCAAGTCTGACATATTCATTTTATGGATAAGGAAACCAAGGCCCAAAGAGGTTAATTGACTTACTCATGATCACACAAGTGTCAGAGTTAAGATTTGAACCCAGGTCCTCTGCCCCCCCCCCAAGTAAGTGCTCTTCCCATGTGCCAACATCCTCAACTTTGCAAAACTGATATATTTCCTGGCTTGGGAACAAAGAGGAAGAGCAGGGAATATCTGTGGTAGTAAGTATTCCATTCCCTTTAGGCAGCTTCCCACTGCCCTTTGTCTCTGTCTGTCTCTACTCTCCTGTCCTCCTCTCATTTTCTCCTTTACTTCCTCTTACTCTTTCGTTCTCTCCTCTCTTTTTTTCTCTCTCTCCCCCTTCCTCTCTCTGTTTCTGTCTCTGTCTCTCTCTCTCTCTCTCTTCATTCTCCCTGTCTTTCTGTCCCTTTCTTTCTCTCCCTCCTAGAGTGCTTATGCTTTATTTATTACTATTCAGAGATCATGGGGAATAGTGGATAGAGAGTCAGTCTTGAAGTATGGAAGACTTGGGTTCAAGTTTTGCTTCTGATCCATGTGGCCTTTGTGATGCTGGAAAAGTCATTTCACTTGTTAGTGCTCTAACCTGCAGAGAAGAACTACTCTGGAGGGCCAGAGGCATTGTCCTAACCTGGAGTTCCTGACCCTGATGAAATCCCGAGTCTGGACCAAAACAAAGTGGTCAGATTTTTGTAGGTCCACTGATGGCTTTTTCATTCAAGCTTGGTGGATGAGTTAGAGTCTCTCTGAGAAAAGGTATCTCCACAGTGCAATAGGTAAAGCCTGTAGGAAGCTGAAGAACTAGTTAAGGTTGACTGTGTGATCTTTGCGCCAACAGAAACTCTGTCTCTTATGAGGCCAGATCACCTCCCCTGCCATGTACTTGTTTGTGTTTCTCTAAAGGGACCATTTTTAATCTTTACATTGTTTTCTAGTTGGATGAGCCCACAGAGGTGGATTCGGTTACTGTGGCATGGGGGAAGGTGGTCAAGGTGGCTTGTTCAACTTGTTGGGTGATGACCCAGGTTCTGAGGTGATACTTTGCAAATGATTTGATTTTATGCTACTTATAATGATGCTAAAATATATGGAGAGACACAGACAGAGAGAGACAGAGAGGGAGAGACAGAGAGAGAGAGAAAGAGAGCGAGACACACACAGAGACAGAGAGACAGAGAGAGACACACAGACACAGACAGGCATATGGAGAAAAAGAGTGGGAGACAAACGGCTAGTAGTAGAACAGTATGGCAAATAGATTGAAGAAGCCTGGAGTGAGGAAGGCAAGGGTCCAGCTTCTGTAGCTGAGTCCTTAGTTTGGTGATTTGGGGCGGGTGATTTAATCTTGCTGAGCTCCAGGCTTCTCCCTAGGAGTTACTTCCTAAGTCAGGGAGTGGTTGTAGTGTATGAACAGGCAGCGATAGAGATGTTTGCTGATTTTGTAGTCAAATTAAAGTCAGAACTGGAATTTATTTTAACTAAGAATCAATGTGTGCATCATTTTTTAATAAACAAAACAAGATAAACCCCTCAGGAATGTGAGTTTGATAAAAGAAAAAAAAACCTTTTCCCAATTCAAGCTGTCCAGAAGTGAGATGGGCTGCTTCCCTCAATAGGTGGTGAGACTCTTTCCTCAGAGTGATTTAAGCAGAGACTGAATGATTATTTGTTGGGGTTGCTGTGGTATGGATTCTTTTTTAGGTGCAGTCTGGATTAGTACCATAAATTCATAGATATAGAGATGAAAGCAACTTCCAACATCATTGAGATGATCTCTCTTCATTTTATAGTTGAAGAAACTTGGTGCCCACAGGTTCAGTGACTTGCTCAAGGTCATACAGTACCAAGAGACCAAGTCAGAATTTGAACAGACATCCTCCAAAACCCCAATATCGCCCTCTTTGGTGCCTTAGAGAGTGGAAGATAAGCACTGCAACATCTTCTTTTTTAAAAATTACTTTACTTTTACTTGCCCTAAAATAGGCAGCAATGAAATGACTCACTGATGAAGAACTCTTGTCGTCTTGGTCTAAGCATGTTTTAAGGTTCTAGATCCTGGCTGGTTTTCTTTGGGCATTTGCTGAGAATTAAGGACCCGAGGCACTGAATGTGTCTCCAAAGAGTCCCAACAATGGGAGCTGTCCAAAGTGAAACATGCTTGGTTCCCCATCTTTGGAGGTCATGGAGTCAGAATGCCACTTTTTGGCTCTCCTGTAGTGTACATTTCTTTCATATATTGGTCACACTATATCAGCAGTTCTCAGCCTTCTTGGTCTTAGGAAACATTTACACTCTTGAAAATTACTGAGAATCCCAAAGAATATTTGTTTACATGATTTATATCTATTGATATTTGCCATGTTATAAATCAAGATGTCTTAGTATTAGCATTATTATGAGCATCATCATTATAATTAGCATTAATGATTATTATTAGCACTATTATGAAAATGGTTTTGACTTTGTGGACATCTAAAAAGGGTCTTGGGGAAGCTAGAGGGTTCAGTGGGCAGTACACTGATCCTGGAGTCAGAAAGACCTTGAATTCAAAGCCAGATTCAGATACTTACTAGCTGTGGGACTTTGGGCAAGTCACTTAACCTCTGTTGCCCAGGAGGTATCTAGGTGGCTCAGTGGATAGAGCATTGGGCCTGGAGTCTGGAAGACCTGAGTTCAAATCTGGCCTCAGACACTTAATAGCTGTGTGACCTTGGACAAGTCACCTACCTTCTGTTTGCCTTAATCAACTGGAGATGGAAATGGCAAACCATTTCAGTATCCTTGCCAAGAGAACTTCAGGAATAGTCCACAGAGGAGTTGGACGTGACTGAATTGACTGAATAACAACAACCACAACAAAAGTCTCAAGCTATCCCAGGTGACACTTTGAGATCACTGGACTGGTCGGTGGCTACTATCCTTCTATTTCTCAGATTTTGCTCTAATTTTGCTCTACTCGCCTAAGCTAATTCTTGCCAGGGACAAAATTTGACTTCAAGATTTTGTTTGTTTTTCTTTTAAATGAGGCAAGACTGACCAATGAGCAGTCATTGGTTTGGTTATAAAATGAATTGAAATTTGACCCACTTCCATTGGTCAGCACCTGCCAGGACAGGCTGTGGCCCCTCCTAAATCTGTACACACTCTCTCCCTTCTTCTGGGCAGGACTGAATTAGTGAATAGTTTTTCAGACAGTGAATGATTGAGTGACAGCTATCCAGTGAGGGCTCCAAGCAGTGCAGACCTTCTTCTTCATGGTCCCTTATGAGGCAGAAACAAAATTCAGTTTTTCAAGGAGAAAGAAAAATGCCCTCCAGTAAATGAATGTGAAATGGAAGTTTTAGGCAGAGCTTGTAATCCGAGGGAAGGAAGCACCCAGGAAGAAAGAGGAAAATGGGTTTGATTCATTTTCTTTGTTGCTTTTCTTCAGTGAGAGATGAGAGCTTCCGTGTCCCTTGGGCTTCTGGTGAATGGGAGGGGTGTGGATCACTTAGGAAGGCAGTGTATCTATTGTCGAAACTCCCCACCTGTGACTGGCTCTACCTGGGCAGATGTACAACCAGGGTCAGGGGATGTGACAGGATGTGGGGTGGGGGGGTTGGAGAAGACGGGGAATAGAGAGGCAGATCTAGATCAGATGTCAAGAAAATCTTCTTGCCAATTAGTTTTTTGCCCAGAGTGGAATGGAATCCTTAGAAAGAAGGGGAGTGGGTGCTTCCCTATGCTGGAAGTCTTCAAGTAAAGGCTAGATGTCCACTGGCTATAGTCAGAATTCTTGTTCAAGTACATAGACTAAATTCAATTCAGTTCAAGCATTTATCCAAACAGTGAATATTTATGAAATACCTACTATGTGTCAAGCATTGTCTGAGCACTAGGGATACAACAGAAAAAAAAGAAAAAAAACATTCCTTGTCCTCAGGGTGCTTATATTCTAATTTAGTAAATCCATCCTATGCAGGTGACAAGCACTTTACTGGACACTGAGAATGCAAAGACATACACAAAATCTATGCTGTTTTCAAGGAAGCTCATATTCTGTTGGGAACAATACCTATACTAATAAGTACTCAGCAAATGGAAATAAAATAAATTCAG